AGAGAGTATTCGTAAAATGCTAGTGAAAGTGATGTTTCACATTTATGCTTTTAAATCTTTCTAAAATTGCACCCATTGCACTGCACAAGCCTTACAAAGACACCATTTTCACTCATAATCAATATTATGCCGTAGAGCTGTCAATTGGGTCTTACTTGTAAATATTACTTTAAGAGTCTGTACCAGTCTGTACTGTATTTTTCATAATCCCATAACAAGCTGTAACACTCAATACATGTAAACAGACCAGCAAATAATTATTATAATGTTGTGTTATTTAACCAACAACATCAAACGGCAATATAATACACTATAAAAGACAATCTAAGGTTGTGATGTGTCCAATGACGGTGGCGGCACAAATTCAAATGTTACTACTGTAAGCACATGGCACCTTATTTCTAAAAGCCAGATTATCCTGAGCAGAGCTTGCATGCAGACTAGTGGAGCAAACTTAACATGACCTCCACCTCCCCCAGCAGCAGCAGTCTGCGCCCCCATCACTCCCCAGCCAGGCATGTGCAAAGGGAATGGGCTTAAGACGAGGCCACATATATAATGCATAACCGTGTTGGGCCATATTTAAGGAGCATTTACGAGTATGCAAGCACAGAGCAGAAATGTAGCTCCCCTCAGACACGCGACAACTGTGTTTGACTCAGTTGTACAAACACGGTTTGCAAAACATATGCAGAGTGGAAGGGGAACAATTATGAGCATAGATTAACGTCGTGATGAATATAGTTTAAATAAAGATAGCATTCGGTCCTTGCAGACTGCTAGGTTTCAGAAATACGTGCGCAATAAATAAATGGACAAATGAATAAGCAAGGGCTTGAAGATAAAATTAAACCCGCCTTGCGTATTCCAAAAACATTTGTGCATTGCATATTTTCATGCATGAAATGACAGTGAAATACTTGTTAAAAAGATAAACATGAGTAGGGTAACATGAAAGATGAGAGATTTTGCTGTTGCCAATGGTTACCTATACTAGGACAAACACATACATATTGGGTTATTCACTCTATTAGTTTCTAGGCAACATGTTTCTGGACTGCATTTCAACCTGTCACACCAATGTTCTCGAAGCAGACAACAAACAAATACACATACTGCTGCTCTGTCAAGGGTTAATAAAAACACCATCAGCTCAATATAATATTTAAACAGTCGTTTAATTCTATATTTACACAGTAATATATCTGTGCATGAGTGGATGTTTGTTTTCTGCTTTGTGTTAATAGGAACGGTAGTATATTTAGCCTGTTGAGCTTAAACTGAAGAATGTTTGAGAATATAAAGAATTTAATAAAACAGCGTTGTTTATGCTTACGCAAGTCGCCTTCACAAACATGCAGAACTAGGTTTATATCTGTGTGCATCATTTTCAGTCATTTCAATGTGCTTTAACCTAAACTTACCAGATAATAATGTTAAAATCAATCGAATTACCAATGCCAACATGGAAGGTTCTTGCAAGGTTATTTCAAAGCTATAAGTATTGTTCAAAATGTACAAAGCAGAATATTCATTAATTTTTCTTCGGCTTAGTCCCTTTACTCATCAGGGGTCGCCACAGTGGAATGAACAGACAACTTATACAGCATATGTTTTACATAGCAGATGCCCTTCCAGCTGCAACCCAGTATTGGGAAACAATCATACACTGCCAACAGTCAACTTTATCAAATGAAATGAGTGTAGTTAACTCAAAATTGAATTGACTAAAGGTTAATTCTACTCATTTGAAAAGAGTTTTGAACTCAGTGTTGAAGGTAATGAGTTAATTAAATACCTTATTACTTAAACAGAGTAAGTTCACAGGACTCATACAGATTAATTTTTTTAACTCAAATGGTTTGTTGCAATCGGTTTCCTCAATAGGGTTTTGAGCTGCCTTAACTTATTGGGTTTTACAGTACTCAGCTAGTTTGAGTTCTTTTCATTTATCGGGTTTTACTTTGCTCAAATTGCTTCATTTACTCAAATGTATTCAGTTCACAGAACTCATTAGGATTAGTTTTTGGACTTAAATGGTTTGCTGCAATCTGTTTCCTCAAACGGTTTGAGTTTTTGGGTTTTACAGTGTAAACACTTATTTACACAAATACACTACAGCCAATTTAGTTTATTTAATTCACCTATAGCACAAATTTCGTGCTTACGTGAACTTGCAAACTCCACACAGAAATGCCAACTGACCCAACCGGGGCTCGAACCAGCGACCTTATTGCTGTGAGGAGACTGTGCTAACCACTGAGCCACTGTGTCGCCCCTATAGAATAATAATTAAAAGTTATCTGGACTAAAATGTTCTCTCATTATTAGCACAATAGGATTACTTGAATTATTTGAACATTTTTTTTTAAAAAATGTATAACCAATCAAAAATGTTTCTGAACACCAAACATTCTGATCATTTGAACAATATCTTTACTCAGGAAGAGTTTGCCCAAAAATGAAAATGATGTCTCATAATAACTTGACTGTTCTTTGCTTTCTAATGGCAGTGAATGGTGCTCGAGTTTCCAAAGTTCCAAAAACGGCATCTAACATTTAACTATTATAAAGGTGAGCCAAAGTGTCACAGACTGGGAGCGAGGATGGCAGAACATTTTCCCAATCCCAATAACCAACTAATTCACTTTGTCATAGAACCTACTGGATCTCACTCAAAAAATATCATATCAACGCCTCCTTTAGTCCTCTCTGTCATGAATGTCCTGACCAGTAACTTGGATCTTTTTTTCATATGATGTGGGAATGTGGGAAAAGTACAAACATTTTGGAATGAGGTGTGTGTTATCTTATCTTCCATACTATTACTGAGTGATGATTCTACGTTGGATCTAACTACAAAAAGCTGTTTGGCTGGCTGACTTAACTTCTGCAATAAAACTACTTGCCCAACATTGGCTTCCTCCACATAATTTGGCCACGTACAAGTAATTGGCACGTACAAGTGGTTGGTAACTTTAGGACATAATGTTGGAATTATCCACAGCTCGAGTGAACTTGGTACAAATGTGTACATTACTGATCTGGACTTCAGCTGCTGACAAAATCTCCATGTTTATTGCACAAAACAGTAATCAGGATCCAGGAAAATTGCCTTATTTTGTATAATTGATACTTGATACTGTGATTTGTTTTTGTATTTCTGTTAAGTTGTATTGGATACCTCAGTTTGAAGAGACCGTAGGGGAGATGGGAGGGGGGTAGTTGATATATTACATTATATAGTTTTTCTGCCTGTATGCTTTGCTAATAATAATTAAATAAATAAAAATAAAGGTAAGCCAAACGACTTTATTATCTATATTTAAAACCTTACATACCATAATAACTACATACATTATGACTATTTCAACGCAATCTCAATGCAATTCGTAACTTTTTGATTTAGTGGCTAATTTGTTTGAATTCGTACGATCTAATTTGTACAATTTAGTACGATTTGCTATCACCCAATGACGGTTGAGGTTAGGGGTGGGGTTTAATGTGGGGGCTTCCCTGCACGGATTATTGACGGAAAATACTTGCGTTTTCTCGTGAGATAAGGCTGACCTTTTTTGTAAACTTACATAAAACACACAAACATTTTTTTAAAAGGACTCCTTGGATTTACTAAATTTATTTGAAGTAAGTGGTTGTAAACTATTTATTTTGGGTTGAATTTAAACAAACAAATTAAGTTGAATGTTACTAAATTTAATTTGATTGTTTAAATTTAGCCCATATAAATTGTTAGTAACAATTTTGTAGAAATATATATTTTTTGATCATTTTCTTTTTGGAGCTTCAAAACTCAAGGACCATTCACTGCCATTATAAACTGTGAGAAGCCATCAATATACACTCATTAATTTCTTTTGATGGTTGTTCAAACTACTTATTTAAAAATGAGTTCAAACAACACAATTCTTATGTTATTTTGGGACAACTTAATTGTTTTATGTTCAATCCACTTAAATTTGTAAAAACCATTAAGTTAATCAATTTCTGTTGTGCCAACATGAAGGAAATGTGTAGAACCATTGCATTGTTTACAGTGTCTGTAAATCACTAGAAAATATTCATTTTAGGTGAACTGTTCTTACAGTAGGAGCATGGGCAAAATGTTAATAGAACATTCTGGTAGCTGAGACAAGTCAATAATACCACAGCAGTGGGTGTATGTGTCATATCACAGACTATAGACAGTCATCTGCACTCTCTCCAGCATACACTTGCACCCTATCATCTTCAATTAAACACCTAGCAAGATAAATCTGGGTTGAAGGGGTCAAGCAACATACACTGATTAAGGCAAATCTTCCACCGTAAAGCACAAAGCATCTAAACAGATTCAGTCTCCATCTGGTGAGAGAAAGACTAGAGTGTAAACAAGCAGTATAGTATGCAATTTAATTGTGTTCAATCCACTTACATTTGTAAAAGCTAAAATGTAAATTTAATTCCAATATGTTGTCCCATCACAAATTATTTGTGTGGTACCCAGCATTTTTTAGAGGTTTTGTGAAATGTGCCAACACAATCTCACAGCAATTCGTAACTTTTTGATTTAGTGGCTAATTCATATGAAATGTGCAATTGTACGATCTCATTTATACAATTTAGTACAATTTGCTCATCCCCCGATGACAGTTGGGTTTAGGATTGGGGTTGGGTGCAGAGCATCCCTTTAAAAATCATAAGAATTAGCCACTAAATTGACAAAACATAAAAATACTTGCATTTTCTTGTGAGATCAAGCTATATGTGCACTGATTCCATATAGACATGGAGACTTTAAGCCACTCTTTAAAACAATTGCCGTTCATAAGCATGACATAAATGGAACTTGTTTTAAAGATGAACCAAACGGCGAACTTCAAGGACAAGTTGGAGTTAAAATCATATGATATACTGTTGATATTAACTCTTTGTGACTGATAAGAAAAAAATATATAATAAATGAATAAATAAATGCACAAAAGTTACAGGAAAGTGAGATCCTTAAAAAAGTTAGAAAATACCAATTGTTTTTATATTCTGTAAATGATGCAAAGAAAATACATTTTGGTCTGATGCAATTGTGTCCAAATACTTTCAGGATGACACCTGTTTGACCCATATCCCGGACGTTTGTGAGGTGAAGGATGGCTGGTTCGCTGCATCTAAAAAATCTTCATGTGACTTCCTCATGGTACGGCTAATCCAGATCTTGACATCCTCAAAATCCCAGCTTCCCTGCTGGAGAGAGACATCACACTTAATTCAAAGGGACTCTTAAAAATATTGACTAACATTGTCTAATCCCTTTAATAATGCTTAACCCTTGTCCTGCAGCTGCTTGGTCTGAACTGTTCTTTATTCATTCGGAGGGTCATATTCTCAGAGGCTAAATGCAGACAAGGGATTTGTCATACTGAAGAATCAAACGTAAACACAACAGAACATGAATATTTTCATTTGTATCAATAATATGGCTCAGCAGGTAGGAAGTTCGCCTGCACTCTTAAAAATACATTTTCATTGTTGGCATTGATGGTTCCAACATATGGGCTGTATAGTGGAAAAGGTTATTTTATTTTATTAATGTAAAAGAAATCTAAAAATGCTTCTGCTATGCCATTACTACACATAACTCCAGTGGATACTGGATACCTTTCTTTTTTAAAAGTGTGAACTGTTATTTATTTATCCACATGGTCATATTCTTAAGGACTCAGTGAATAAGTCATATTGAAGTCATATTAAAATTCAATCAGTCCCTGAGCTTGAACTTTCTCAATATATATATATACAGTTGAAGTCAGATAATATTTAGTATGATAATATTTATTCTTCTGGAGTAAGTCTTATTTTTTCTATTTCGGCTAGACTAAAAGCAGTTTTTAATTTTTTAAAACCCATTTTTGGGACAAAATTTTTAGCCCCTTTAAGCTAATTTTTTTTAGATTATCTTCAGAAAAAAACATTGTTATACATTAACTTGCCTAATTACCCTAACCTGCCTAGTTCACCTTATTAACCTAGTGAAGCCTTTAAATGTCACTTTAAGCTGTATAGAAGTGTCTTGAAAAATATCAAGTAAGATATTATTTACTGTCATCATGGCAAAAGTAAAATAAACCAGTTAATAGAAATACGTTTTTAAAACTATTATGCTTAGAAATGTGCTGAAACAATCTTCCCTAGGTTAAACAGAAATTGGGGAAAAATAAACAGGGGCGCTACTAATTCAGGGGGGCTAATAATTCTGACTTCAACTGTATATATATATATATATATATATATATATATATATATATATATATATATATATATATGAGCAACATCACACGAGTAGCAGTGCGATATGGCTGTATATCGGCACTGGTGGGAGGCATGCGTTGGCACGAGGCCGCAGTGCGACTGGTCGCAGAACGGCGAGTATGATATTGTGTTTATACAACAGTTTGACGGCATAATTGTGTATATAAAAACAAAATCAAACATGGAGAGTCTCAAAACCCTTTTGTATGAGGAGCTACTTTTTTCCGGATTCAAATCATAAGCTGACAGTTAAACAGTTGAGCGTGCATCTTTTAAACTTTACATCTGTAGTGTCTGCTTTTTGCTGGCTGTATGTGGGCGGAGTAATACACAAAGGGTAAAGAGGCTGTAGGAGTTCTGATATTGATATATATATAAGACCTCAAATAAACTGCAATATAAGCCTCTGCCTATTTCAATGCTTTAATCTATTCAAGGTACTACTGAAGAGATGTTGTTTTTTTCATAATAATAACTTACAAAATAATATATAATTATTTATAATACAAAATAATATAAAAATAATAGCCTACAAAATAATATAATATGAATGATATTAAGAAATTTGGTCATATATGTTTTTTTAATGACCTCAAGTAAACTGCAATACAAACCTCTTCTTATACTCAAGCAAAACAATATGTATTTTCATGTAGAAAAAACAACAACATGTTGGGTTGGGGGGGGGGGGGTGGAGGGCTTTATATTGAGAAAGTTTAAGCAATAAATTTGAATGCCTACAAAATAATATAATATGACTCTGATATTAAGAAATTTGGCTATATGTTCTTCTTGATTGACCTCACGTAAACTGCAATATAAGCCCCTGCTTATTCAGTACGTAAGCAAAATATCTGCATTTTTATATTGAAAAAATCAATTTTATGAATATGCCAAGAAAATAATTATATATTTTTTTAATAATTTTATATTTCTGGATCATTACACCAGATGACAGCTTTACTATTTTGGAGCATTATTTAATCTATTCATATATTTATAATCTATTCTAAACACTTCATAAGAGCAATGTGAGACAGGGTAACTGTTGCCATATATTGTTACAGTTATGATACTCATTAGACTAAACAAACAAAAATCCAATTATTATTGATTTCTGATGAGGATATAATTAATTTTATATCATTTGAGCCTCATTATTCCCTGTTTATTCCATAAAGAGGAAAAGAAAAAAACTCCACAGTACTGACACTCCATGCTGTTAAAATTAGCCTGGTCTTCTAATTTAAACATTTTGACAAAATATTAAAGCTCAAATTCTAACAAATTAAAGGCGAAATGAGTTATCTTCCATTGCCTTTGGGAAATAATTCTCTCCTTTGTCGTCAGGGAATGTGCAGGTGCTAACGTGCATGCCTAATTGACTAGATGAAGCAATTAATTATGGAGGAGATGAATGATCTCACTTTCACTGGTCTGCTGCTTAAACCTCTCTATGGCAGTGCTATTTAAATTCATCCGCCGCTCTTAAATTGTTGAAATTTGCATATTTTGCAGTAAAATGTCTATAGATTATAAGCTGATCACCGGTCTAACTCCAATACTACAGTGTAACCTTCATAACGCACAACTACCAGCAACAACAACAACAAAAAAATCCACACCAACTCGACCTTCCTTCCAGAGACAGTTGCTATGAAACACATTTTCCCTGTATAATTCATTTACACGCTGCATACAAATATGTGGACAATTAACCCCTTTTGTTTGCATAATAAATTTGTATATTTAATGGGAGCTCATCCGCATGTGCTCCACAAGCTTGAAGAACACAAAGCGGCCGCATTGTGCGCCGCGCAACGCCCCATCCACTGCAATCATGCCCTGCTGTACCTGATTTCAGCACAGAGCCAGAGAAGGAGGATAAATTACCCCTAGCACAGCACAGAGCTTTAATTATAGCCTTGCAGACAAGAGAAAAGCTCATTGATGTGTAGATGAGGATGGACTATGCATGTTGCACTGAAAGAACCCATGTTTTGGTGATTCTCTATCAAAAGAACAGCTGGGTTGCCATTTTCTCTCAAATTAGATTTCACCAAAGCAATGCGATGTGAAACCAAGAGACGCAATTTCAAAAGTTATTTTTCTTGTTTGTTGAGTCATAAGAGCAACAGGAAAAGTCGATCTGGAATGATGTTAGTTGGCAGAAACGGGAAAGGAAGCAAACATCCCAATCATCTGCGCTTGGGTTCAAAGGTTGCATTGAAACGCTCTTAAATGAGACCATTTTTCAGCTCAAGCCTTTCAGAGTGTTCACAGAAAGATCCAGCTCTGGCATGCGACTATACGTGAATTAATCATTCCGCGCATTCAGATGACATGAGTTGCATTTAAGAAAAGAAACAAAAGAAGTCAATCATGCGCTGGAGGCGAGTTGATGCAGTCCATAAAGCGAGGGAATGCTGGGTAAAAGGTGTTACCTGTGTCCAGAGCTGTGGTGTAGGTCCTAAAGCTGGCGGTCCGGCCTCTGTGTTTGTTTTCAGAGCGCTTTTAAAAAAGACTGTGTGGTGAAACATTGAGGTTATTGATACCCCAGCATGCCTCAAGGCTCCACCCAGCAGTGAACCCTGTGACCTAAGGGTGACGAAAAAAGAGAGACCCCCCCCTCCATTCAATCCCTCTTTCTCACACACACACACACACACTCACCGACTTGTTTGTTTTCACTCCATTCCATTGTGTTTTATTTGAACGATAGTGTTTTACCTTTGCCGAGTGTGAAATTATACACAAATAATGATTAATAATTTGTTTGGATGAACAGCAGTGATCATATTGTAAACAAACAGAAAACTTGCAAGCAAGCAGTCATTAAATAACTCGAGCGGCTCAAGTCACGCTAACGAGACTAATGAGCATCCACTTCCCCAAGAATGTTTTCAGAAGTGATTATATATGTTAGCGAAACTTTAGACAATCTGACAGACGGGAAGAAAGACATCTGCAATTCTCTCATGCCTCAGTGCCACTCTCGCCCCGGATCTTTTCACATTTCTGATTAGCAGACACATTTTATCACTCTGCAGACAACTCAATTTTCATTTTGGGAGGGGAGACGGAAAGGGTGACAGCCCAGGGCCTTTAAGGCGTCTCGGGGACCCTGGCGAGCCCAGCGCTGAAGCTGATAATTAGACTTCCCTGAACCACAGGTCAAAGAGACAGAATTATTTGGCCTGTGTAGACAGCAATTTCCTCAAGCCACACGAGATGAGATATCACAAGCTGTTATACATGTGCACCGGGAAGCCTCGAGAGTGGGGTCGGAGTCAATCCTATTCCCTACAGAAATTCGTATATTGAAAGGGCAGCTAACTAGGGACCATGATCATTTAATTTGACTCCTTTCAAGGGACCGTGTTCCTCAGCCATCAATTTCAAGGGCTGGTTTGCAGCTCTTACATAGCCTGATAATAATATCTTTCCTTTCTTTTTGTCTGGAGAAGAGAGCTCTTCATCGGGGTTGGTGGTCATGTTGATTAAACGTATCAAAAGTGACAGAATATAATGAAAAGGTTGCTGTCCCTGGTGTAAGCTCTATCGCTGGCACAAAAAAAGAGAGAGTCTGGGGTGTTTTCAGAGGTGTGTAGGAGTGTGGGATCAGAAATGCATTACACCTCCTCGGAAAGTCTTATGAACATTTGTATGCTCGGGTTAAAATTTCCATTAAACATTGTTTTAGAAATGGATGCCATACCACCCTCCTCTCTAACTGTGAATCTAGAAGACACGCTAAACTATTTACACATATTCCTGTGCCTACACTTTTAAAAATAAAGATGGCAAACTTGTTTTTTGTTGCAATGAAGTCATAGATGAAACATGTTGGCTTCCCTGAGGAACCTTTTCCCAAACATTTCCTTAGAGAAACAATTGTCTTATAGGAAGAACAGTTTTTATAATCTAACTGTAGGGTTAGTACACAACACACTAAATGGAAAAGTTTTCCTGTGTTTTTGAAGTTGAGTGTCTTTGTTTTTTTCTATTTTCAGTTGAAAATGGTGTCGACTAATGTGTTTTTCTTCTTTCACTATACTTAATCTTGTTCAACAGCAAAGTTCTTGTATAAGCAAATGTTTTTTTATGCAACAGATGCCAACAAATGACTTATTTATTTTATTATTATTGTAATTATTCTTAGCAAATGCTAAGATTCTGATTATAGATTGGTAAAACATTGAATAAACTAAGTAAAACGTATGTAAGTAAATAATATAAAGGATACATTTACAACATTGAAAACTGAAGACTTATGCTATTTATTTTCTAAAACAATGGCATTTGGGAGGCTTGAAAATGCTGTTTCAAAGTGCATGTTCTGAAAACTGCACTATTGTTGTCTCTGTTTAAACTAACAAAGATGATATCCTTTTGCATAAACATTCAAGAGTCTATGGGCTCTATTTTGACGGTCCATGCGCAGAGCGCAAAACGCAGGGCGCAAACGCTTTCAGGGCGTGTCAAAACGCATTTTTGCTAATTTATGGACGGGAAAATGCGCATTTTCTTAATGAGTTATAGGTGTGTTTTGAGAATAAACCAATTAGAGTCTCATCTCCCATTACCTTTAAGAGTCAGCTGCGTCACGCCAAGAGCGCATTCGCTATTTACAGGACGCAAAGTAAGTCTAAGTGGAAAAAATGAGCATTTCACAAGCAAACAGTTAACAGTTGACAGTTTTTTAACAGAAAATGTTAAACAGAGCATCTACTGAGTGAGAATGAGAGATAATGGATCACTTTCACTTTCGCTCTTGGATAGGGAAACCTTTAAGCACAGACATCAATTAGTCTATAAATAATTAATTTCGCTTGTTAAGCGCAAAAATTTGTTTCAAAACTATTTCTAAATTCAGTTCTAATTTCTAGCAAACGAATAAATGAACAATAATGACCAAGTGTGGTCAAAATACTGAGTTATTCCCAAATACACCTGCCATGCCCCATATGGTCTAAAACCTGACAGGTGGGCAAATCTAAGCTTGTTTTTAATAAAAAAAATATATAAATATGGATTTATTAAATAATACTGCTAATAATAATAACATTATACAAAAGCAAATTGTAATGAATGAGCTGAAAAAGCCTCCCGAGATGAAGAAGACATAAAAGCAGTGATTTTTCATACTTATGTAGGCTAGAAAATAATATGTTTTGTAATATTTTAATCCTTTATATTTATATTCTATATCTATTCTTATTATATCCTATATATATCCTTAATATTTACATTTTTTCATATGTAAAGATATTTGCCTATTGCTCTCTTGTGCGTATTAAGCAGTGCGTAAGCGAGCCGCAACTCTGCGCCGGAGTTTAGACCGGGTTTGTTTTGGTCTAATGAAAAATCTATTATAGTTTCTCAAAATAGCGACGCGCCAGCGGTCCGCCTCAGAACGCCTTCCTTTTTAGACCAGAACGCCTATGGGCGCACAAATGAGCACTAATGCATTTGCTATTTAAACAGAGTAGCGCAACGCCTCAAAACGACTCTTGCACCAAGCTGAAACTACCAAAAGACTATTGCGCCGCATCTTGCGCCACACTGCGCCGGGTGTATGATAGGGCCCTAGATCTGGGGTGTCCAAACTTGGTCCTCGAGGGCCAGTGTCCTGCAGAGTTTAGCTCCAACTTGCTTTAACACACCAGCCAGGAAGTTTCTAGTATATCTAGCAAGAGCTTGATTAGCTGGTTCAGTCGTATTTGATTAAGGTTGGAGCTAAACTCTCCAGGACAGAGAGTCTAGGCATGCATGCAACCCAGGCTAATTCTGAAAACGTATCGCTAGATAAATTCCTAAAGAAACCCGCCCACCCACTTCTCTAAAAAAGCAATCTAGAAAAAGAAAAGTCCTTGCCAGATTTTTACCACGTTTTCAGATTTTTCAATATTTTCACCCTGCTATTTACTTGTTTTTGTCTTACTTGTTTTCTGGAATCGTTCTTCTAGTCCGCCATTTTTTTCCTCGCCGCTGTCGCCACTAGCTTGCATGGTTCGGGATCATCGATGAATTTGCAGTTTTTGCAGTGTTTGGACTCTCAGTAGTGATTATTAAACCACACTGAACTGAGCAAAACTGAACTGAACTGAACTTATTCATTCATTTATTTTATTTTCGGCTTAGTCTTTTTATTAATCCAGGGTCGCCACAGCGTAATGAACCACCAACTTATCAAGCACGTTTTTTCGCAGCGGATGCCCTTCCAGCCACAGCCCATCTCTGGGAAACATCCACACACACTCATTCACACACACACACTCATACACTATGGATAATTTAGCCTCCCCAATTCACCTGTACCGCATGTCTTTGGACTGTGGGGGAAAACAGAGCACCCGGAGGAAACCCACGCAAACGCAGGGAGAACATGCAAACTCCATGCAGAAACGCCAACTGACCCAGCCGAGGCTCGAACCAGTGACCTTCTTGCTGTGAGGCGACAGCACTACCTACTGCACCACTGCGTCGCCCTGAACTGAACTTAAACTCAGAAAATTTAACTGACACTGTTTCACTTTACTATAATCTTTTATGTGAAGCTGCTTTGACACAAGCTACATTGTAAAAGTGCTATACAAATAAAGGTGAATTGAATTGATTGAATTGAACATGGCGAGCTACCGGACAAACAGTGGGAAAGCCATCTATATGGAGGTAAGTGGTCAGCTAGTAAGCGCGAAAATTTATGGCGTCATACCGCCCTGTATTGTTCGTTTTAAAGATGAAATGCAGCCATGCGTATTTCTGGCTACATATTTCGCAATCTTCAGAAATGTATATAGGGCTACGTTTTCAGAATGAGTCCGTGTTGCATGCATGTGGACTTGACAACCAAAACAACTATGGCAGACTAAAGAACTTGACAACCAAAACAACAATGGCAGACTACAGAACCGTATGTTTGCAGGAACAAAGTGTTACTTTACAAGGGAACCTTGCCAACTACTGACCTGGCATGCATATTACAGCATTTTTAGTTGTTTTCTTGATCCATAAATGTTTATTGTTTTGACAATGTTTTTGTCTATACAAAAAAACTTTCCAATAATGCAAACTTTTCCATTTCTAACACTGTTGTCATGTAAACGCACCCTAAGAGTGTGCATAACAACAAAGCCATGCTCCATTTACACATTCTGAGCTGAATTCCAGAGATAATTGGCAAAGAAACGTTCTTTTCTCATTGACAAGTGGAGCGATTTGAACGTAGGCTCCAAGATAGTCTGCGCAACAATATCCAGTGTTGCATTTCATATGGCAATGAGATATAGTCTTACACCTGCTTCACAAAGTACAACAATGCACAGCTGAGTTGAAAGGAGAGAAAGTCGTGGCAGATTCTTCAAGATAGCCTTTACTGAAATGCTGTTTTTTGTGAGACAGAGGCTGTTGCGGTGGCTGGGAAGGAAAACACGGGGACAGCTGTATAATTATACTATTTTTACTGTCGGGAGCTCGGTATGTGAGAGGAGAATTAGCATCACACCTGTGCATAATTGGCTAAATTAGCTTGCATAATGCAAACTCAGAGAAGCTTTGGACACTGGGGGAGGAAGTGCGGCTTCGAAAATTGAGGGAGTTGTTTGGACTCCCTCTGGAA